CCCCCCGCCAAAAAAAATCTCCACCCAATGAATCAGTAAATTGTAACAAGAGATTCTGGCTAAACAAGTTTCTAATTCAAATGCTCTTATAGACAAAGAGCTCTTTGAAAATAATATCCATGTTCTGGCTGCTTGTGCTTCTGTGGAAAGTTATGTCTTTACTGTTCATGGAATTCATCTATGCCCTCACCACCATCGAATGTTGAGGGTTGTACACTACGAAAACGTGGAGTTCTCTGAAAGGAAGGCAAAATGCCCTCTGTTAAAGGAGCTCAGGGAAAACAATTTCCTGCCAATTAACACATGACTACTGAAAAAGTTTTGCCCAAGAACAGAGCTCCACATAAGGAGGAATTTTATACCAATACCAGCTTATTGACAGAGTTACCCTTTCTATGGTCCTGGTTTTGCTTCCTCCAAAATAATTGACTTCAGTGCAACCAATACTGGGCCCAGAAGAGTTCAGAGCCAAACTTTTTTTGATCACTGACATTAAATGATTGACAGAAGAACCCCATTTTATAACAAGGCAACATTTGAACAACAGCTTCTATAATTACATCCAAAATTTGTCACATCCATTTTTATCCAGGTGTAAGTAGCTTGGATGCTCTGCATCCAAAATGTATTGGCACTCACAGATAGTGTCACTTAAATACATCACCAAGTGCAGCAAAATTAAATTAACTGATAGTTATTGAGTGGACTGAGAGACTAGCTCTAGATATGCCAGAAATTATTATACCAGAATAATAAAAAACCAGCCAAGGATGTTTGAGACTTCTTGCTGCAAAGAAGCATGTTTGATTATTCAATTATTACAGAGGAACCCACCCCAAGTGTGTGTGTGTTTGTGGTTGGTTTGTTTCTTTGGGGCAGTTTTATTGTTGGAACATCTGGGTAAAATGTAGGACGTGGGAATCAGACTAAAAGATACTTATTCTTAGTATAAATGCACTGGGCATTTTGCATACTAAGAGCAAACGCTTTTCCTTTCCTCTTCTAAATCTTGTAGCTTCTTTGAGGAGGCTGGTGGGAAGAGGTTAAAGGTCACAGTGAGCTGCCAGGAAGAGTGAAAAATGGTGGCTACTGCCCCTGTGCTTGGACTATGTGTTCCATTATTTCTCTTTGTAATGGCAATACCTTCCCATGGAAGGCTTGAATGTTGCAAATTAGTGTTTTGACTTATCTTTCTAATTACCTCTTCAGGTGTAACAGCAAGCCAGATGTTGAGATGAACAAAAGAAGCTGCTTACCAGAGCCCAGTATTGGCATTTGTCACAAATGCCTTTACAATCCTTAAGAACATTACTTTGTTTTTAAGGGGATAAATAGAAAGGTCTTTCTCCTTTTCCTGGAGGAGTAAGGATTCAACCTAATTAACTTTACTCTTGTACAAAAATCACAATGAAAATCTCACTTGTATAAAAATTCTGGATTTCCAAAACCGAATGTCCATATAATGAGGTGCATGTCTGAAAAGATTTAACACACAAACTGAGTGTAGTAGGTGGTGGGGAAATAGGAATATTTTTAAGAAAAGAGAGAGATGAGCTCAAACCAATCTTCTTGTCTCTACTCTAACGAAAGCTGAAACTGATAGGAGCTTTGCCTGAAAAAATACTGAAGAAAGGCTGTAGGATTTGGCCCATAAGCTCTATCATGTGCTCTTTATAAAAAAAGAAATACATCCACTGATGGAAGAGGATGGTTTTGTTTTTAGATCACAGAGGCTGAATGGGCTACTTCCATGCCTGTTGGTAAGAAATCTCTGATAGTACAAGATTTTCATGCTGCTTTAGAATAACCCCTTGAGGACCTGAAACTGAAATCTCTCTCTTCAGCAAAATGTTCTTTCCTCCATCATGAGTGCAGACTGCTTGATTGCTCATAGGGCCCGGGCTTCTGGCACTTAGGGGATTTTTTTTATTTTGAGGTGCATATTACATACCAAGAATTACACAGACTTTACAAAGAGACAGATGGAGAAGAGGGCAAACCGTGTTTTGGGATTGACAACTCTTAGAATTGATTTCTACTCCTATGCTCCCCTCAAGCTTTAGTTTGAGAGCTCATGGACCCTGGGCAAGTCCCTGAATATAGGATGAGGTGCAGAGAACTGTTGTACACATGCTACAGACAGGCTTTTTAGCTCCTCTCACAACACAGATGACTACTGAGTAGGCACCTGCACAAAACTGTGTGGTTACTATGGCCAGTCCAGTGGGGCAGGTGTGTAGGGTCTGATTCAGCTCCCCATGCAGTCAAGGTTTGATTGGTCCCTTATTATGCATGCAGACACAGCAGAGAGATCTGTGCAAGCACATGGCCTGACAGGTTCTTATCTGGACAAAAACCCTGTGGACATGAACTGTGGGCCAGCTTTTCAAAAAAGCTCAGCATGTTGGATACCTAAATGGGAGTTGAGCCCTTGAATATCTGATCCCAACTGGAAATGCTGAGTGCTTAAAAATATGGCCTTGAGCTAATTTAAAAATCTGGCCCTAAGTGGGTGAGTGTTTGCATGTGTACAATTTACTGAAAAAACAGACCCTTATATATTAAAAAAGCAGCTGTGTTCAAAAATCAAAACTGACAGGCAAATCACTTCCAATGCTGCATTTAAACACAAGTCAACTATTAAGTAATAGAAGTAAAGAGAAGTGTCTGAAAAACTGACACTTTTTATTTTAGTTTTGTTCCCTTTTGACTCAAAAGCAGCCAAGCAAATACTGCTCCCTGGCTCAGAGCTGAGGCACTGTTGTTTCAGTCCAAAATAAATGTTGTCAGCCAAGTTATAATACATAAATCAATATTATATCATGATGTGGGTAAAAGTAATGAAGATAAGCAATTATATAGAAGTTTTCATGTTTGGACTATGGAGCAAAATGAAAAACAACTAGATTAGATGCAGATGATTGTCACTTATACAGTTAATGCCTCACATGCACCCAAGGGGTTCTGATAGTACAATAATCACAATCAGTGCAGGCTGTATTTCCTTCAACACCCAGTTAGGTTAGAATAATGTTATTTTTCATGGATTTTCCTGTGTTTTTGTTTTTATATATTTTAGGCTTTTTATGTAGTTGATGATTATCACCTTGTCTTAGAGAGATGCACAGAGATTTTTTTTTTTAAGTTTTAAAAACTTGATTTTTTAAAAACATGTATGAACAGCTCATTGCTGAATGCAGGGCCATCAAAAGACAGACAAGGTTCTTTGGGTGAATCTGATATCTTTTATTAGACCAACTTAAATAGTTGGAAAACAATTATTAAGCAAGCTTTCAGGTTCAAAAGCCCTTTGTCAGGCTAAGGAAGTTTCAGCAGTTGGTGTGTGCTCTTCCTGGATGGAATGAAAAGTAAAGAAGCCAGGGGCTGAGCTGGTATGCATACAAGACAGGTAGTCAGTGAAAATGTAGACTGAGGAATCAGTGGGTGAGAGACAGGCTGGGGAAGTGGGGGAAGAGAGAGAAGGGGGATGAAAGTGAAGAGAGACCTGGGGAGTCAGATGTCAGGCAGGTTATAATGTGTCATAAATCCAATGTCTATATTTAGTCCATGATTTTTAGTATCCAGGAGGTTGGCTCGTCTCTGGGAAGTGTTGTGTAAGTTTCCTTTGAGGATCAGGACTGAGAGATTGGAGAGAGAGTGGCCCTCCTGTGAGAAATGTGCCCCCACCAGTAATTGGGTATTTCTGTCTTTGATGGATTTCCGGTGTACGTTCATTCTGGTGCACAGTTGTTGTTTGGTCTCTCCTATGTATTTTCCATCAGGGCATTTGGTGCATTGGATGAGGTATATTACATTTCTGGAGGTGCAGCTGTAAGATCCTGGGATGCTGATGGCTCTGTTGTGGGGTGTAGTAATAGTGGGGGTGGTGGAGATGTGGGGGCAGGTTTTGCATTTCTTGTCATGGCACGGTCTGGATCCTGGGGTGATATGTCATAACCAGCAGTATGCGATTTGTGGGGGGTTTTCTTCTGTACTGCAGCAGTTCTTCACATGGTATCTGCGTGGCTCTTTCAAACGTGCGATCTATCTCTCTGGAGGAGTGTCCTTGCTGGGTGAAAGCCTTTTTAAGATTGGTGAGGTGGCAATCCCAGGTGTTCTCTTCAGTGCAAATGAGGTGGTATCTGAGGGCTTGGCTGTATATCACAGCTTTTTTGGTGTGTTTAGGGCGATTGCTGGTTCTGTGCAGATATGTATGTTGGTCTGTGGGTTTCTTGTATAACATGGTCTGTATTTTATCATTCTGGATACTGATCATCATGTCTAAAAAGGAGATGTTGGTGCTGGAGTATTCTAGAGAAAGTTGGATGGAGGGATGGTGATTGTTGAATTTCTGATGGAACTCAATCAGAGATTGCAGGTTTTCAGTCCATATGATGAAGATGTCATCGATATATCTTAAGTATAGCAAGGGTTTGATGGTGCAGTTCTTGAGGAAGTCTTCTTCCAGGTGGCTCATAAAAAGGTTGGCATACTGTGGGGCCATTTTGGTGCCCATAGCTATTCCCATCATCTGGAGGAAGTGTTGATTATTAAAAGTGAAATTGTTGTGTGAGAGGATGAAGTGTATAAGGTCAGTAATATCTTTGGGTCTGTATTCTGAGTTGTAATCTTGTTCCTGTAGATATGTAAAGCAGGTTTGGATGCCATCCTGGTGTGGGATGTTGGTATATCAAAAGTAATTTAGCCAATCATCATAATGGCTATCTTCAGTTAATCTACATTCTCTACTCCTGTGGGCATTCTGTACTCCTGTAATTTAAAATGCTGTGAATGTGGCTAATTTACCTCTCCTCAGTGCATTTTTTAAAAATCCCATTTTGGGATTATGATCCCAAAAAATGTAACTCCACTACATCAGACCTGTGATATGTGGTATAGTTTGCTGACTGGCAGAAAGGATCATCATTCCCCACCCCCTCCACACACACACAATTTCTATTATATATATATGCCATATTAAAGGGGTTTTGAAAGATTTGAGATAATTATGTAAATAAAATAAATAACCTCCTTTAAATAAAAAGCACTAAAGCATGCCCACAAATATTTTTTGCATGTGATACATCTTCCATGGGCATGTATGACATGTTTATATAATACAAGCACCCATGCCCACCACAAGGCTAAAACTGTTCGCTAGGGGTTGTCTTTCCTGGTCTCATTATAGAACCTTTGCTAAGAGCTAAACTCTTCTCGGGGTGCCCTGTATTTACCACATTATTGTAGTGTAACTTCTTTGGCAGGTTGTTCTCTGGGAATAAGAACACTGTATTGTTGGCTACAAATGTCCAACTCGGGATCCTTAAAATTCTGGTTTATTAGGCGGATTGAAACACTGTAATGAAGTTAACTCATAAACCTTGGGGCTGGTCCCCACACGCACACACACACACACACATGCACACACACAGTAGCAAGCTACAGGAGTCCGGTATACCTATCCTACAAGCGCTGGAGTCTGCCATCGATGGCCAGTCGAAGCTTCTTTCAGCGTGGTGTTATCTTCCAGAAGGGGGTCGCCAGCTGGTCCTTCTGGCTGGACAGGTCTGGTCGAGTTGGAGATCAAGAGGGCACCACTGAGGGTCACTTTTCACTGCCTTTTATCTGTCCTAGGCAGACTTTGGTGACTCCCCAGTTTTCAGGTTTGCCCAATCCAGGGGTCATTGACCCTCGTGGGACTTCCCCCCTCGGTGGCTACTGGATGGCATCTGTCAGCCCCAGGGGTCGTCCACATGTACGTGCAGGTTTGAGAGTCCATTGATGAATTTTGAATAGGACTCTGGGAGTGGTTGATTTGGAGATATTCAGCCCAAAAGTTGGTCCCTGGCATTGATTAACTCAGGCCAGGGCTTCTAGCCCTTGATCAGTGAGGTTTAGAGATTTCCCGGTTGTTACATTGTCTTCTATTGAGTTCTTCCGTTAGTTCATCTGCAGTTTTCTTAGGTGTTAATTGCTGCCTGCTACCATGTTACACATTCAATCACTGATTCACTCACTCTTTCAGGGGCCAGCCTGATACAGGGAAGGGCAGTTTGATTCCTGCCCTTGTTAACATTGTTACAATGTATAACTTATTTATGAAACTAAACACATTCAGTTGAAAGTTGAAAGGTGAGGAGTATAAAATATAAGCTACAAATATAATGCCATGGCACACAAATAGATAAAAAATACCAAAATACAAGGGGAGATACAAAATGCACACATACTCAAAACACAATTCCTTATCTTAAAGTGAAAGAAAGAGGAAGGAAAAAAAGGTAGAAGAGGAAAAACATATCCAAGGAAGGGAGAGCAACTGCAGGCAAGAGGAAAAGGGGTCTTTCTGCTACAGTATATTGTAGATCAGGGTGCTCAACTCCTGGCCTGTAGGACAGACCCGGCCTGCAGAGCCATGTAATCCAGCCCACAAGCCTCCCCATGGGTCTAGAAATTTGGCAGTGGGGGAGTGATTGAAGTTATTATTCCCCTGACACCAAATTTTCAAGACCCATGCAGCTGGGCCAGGCCTGCACAGAGGGTTTAGGTCTCATTCCCATGGAGCTGAATCAAGTCAGGGCCTGATATAGTCATGTGAGAGCAGCCTAGCCAGAACCCAATGCAGCCATTATCATGTGGCTGCATAACCCCCTGCCAGACCATTTCCATGCAGTTGGATCAGGCCACAGCTGGAACAGCACCACATGCTGGACCAGGCCCACAAACCAGATCCAACCCACAGATAGACTTGGCACCATTCATCTGGCCCACGAGCCAAAAAGGTCAGGTACCACTGTTATATATGACTGTCTGTTATACTCTTGGTTTCTATCACACATTTCAGTAGCTTCATTTCCATGACAGAGGTCATTAGAGTCACAGCACCATGACACTCCTATTAAAGTGATTTACTTGTGGGGGCGGGGGGAAGTGGTGGCTGGAGCCGCTCACAGGGGTTGGAGGCGCCGGGTACAGACCCCAGCGCTCCCAAAGGTAGCCCTGGGGACCCCGACACTGCAGGGAACCTATCCAGGAGGGAACTGGAATCAGGGCTGGAGCTGTGCAAGCTGGTGCTGCGCCAGCTTTTCAAGCAGCTGGTAATCAGGCTGGGTGGCAGCCGGCTGATAACGTCAGCTATGCCCACCACCATGGGAGATTTAAAAACCCCATTGGAATCCGGGTATGGGGGAAACCAGCATGGGAGATGCCCAGCTCGTCGGGGTGGACTCCAGCCAGCACATCAACACTGATCTGACAGAGTAGGGCAGGACCAGTGTGGGGAAGATAGAATGCACTTCCCCACACAGAGCACCCGGGGGGGCTCTGGGCTATCCTGGTGTGGGGAGCCTGGAGTCGCTGCAGCCATCCTCAACCCAGCAGAGGGCATGGCTGTGCCAGACCTGACAAAGGGACGGTGCAGGGGAAAGAAACAGGGACGAGTGCCAGGCTGACACCACAAGCCTGCACTCTCCCCTGAGACTGACAGGGTGAGGCCCGAAGAGAGGCCATAAGGAGCCAGAACCCATAATTAAGAACGATGTCCAATAGCCCGCACAGTTGGCGAGTGGACTAGGGTGTAGAGGAGGCAGAACCCCAGAATCAACGGCACCGACCCCATGACTATTACCATCCCCAGGACAGTGTAGGAACACCACTGAACCCCTCCTTCAAGTATATTTCCATCAAGTCATGGCAGGCGAGTCAGGGTGCCTGGCCCAGGGAGTGGGAGATACTCGCACCACCATCTGGGGGCATCACAGGGAAAATCTTCCCTTTCTCATTTGTGTTAGAGAATTGGTGACACCATTGTATTAAGCTACACACAATCACTTAAAAGAGGTGAAATGCATAAATATGTCCTTACACCATACAGTCTGATTCCAACTGGCACTAGATGTTCACAAGTCCAGCTGACTTGTCTATGCTGTGAAGACTTAACACCTATTAGGATCAACCAATTAACATAACTACCAATAACATCTATGAATCTATGAATCTATGAATTAGTAACAGGACTTTGAAAATAGAACTCTAAAAATTATGATTCAATATGGGAAGTAAATTATTAATACCTTTTTTACCCAAAGTTTAGAGAAAAGAATAGTATCTTGCCTTCTCCCAATACATTATAAAAATAATAGTTTAACAGGAACATGGGGATCAAACTACCTACTTTGATTTTATGACTGGAGAGAGTCTTTCAATAAATTATTTAATCACCACCATTCCAAATTATTCTGTTATGTGGGTCCACAATTACTTCTTTCTCCAGTTTGCACAGAGGAAAATCTGATAAACCAAAGGCCCTATTTCCATAGCCATTGCACCTAAAGGCAATTATTAGGCAGATTCAAGAGCTGAGAGGGATCAGTTGCAAGAAAAAGCAATATTATGGAAAGAGAGACTAAACAATGATGCATGTGTGAAACTGAGCACTGTATTCCAGTTGGGGACCTTGGTTACATGAAGGGAGAATACTTTTCTCCCAAGCTATTGACTTATTTAGGCCTTCAAATGTATTTTCTGATGCTCATAGGTTGCACTTCTCTACCACTGGCAGGAACCAGGGCAGCAGGCTAGCTAAATTACCACCAGCTGGCCCTAGTTACCTGAGTGGGCTTGGTTGTCAGTGACTTAACTACCAACAGCAGCTCCTGTTGCCTGCTGGGTATGGGTGCCAGCTTTACACAGCAGCCCGTTCAGTAACTAGTTGGCTACTCAATAGGACAGATGCCTCTGGGCTAGTCCTGCATGTCTGATTCCTTGGTCCTGCTAGTTTCCTATCCCTTAGATCCTGCTTGTTGGCTTCCTAGCTTTATACTGGTTCCTGCCTGCCTGTTCCTAGTTCCAGATGTAAACCTTGACCCCTGGCACTTTCAGACTGCCTTGCTGGCTCCTTGACTACTTCTACTTCCAGAATCTATTCCAGAACCCTGTCCTCTGATGGCCAGCTCCTGTCTTGTGGTTTGGCTTGGCAATTGCCCATATCCTTGTCCTGGACAGTGATAGCTGGCCTCCTCTGTACTTCATTGGCTAGTGATGCCAGTCTTAATTCCTGCCTCCTATTCCTGACTTCCCCAAGTTGACTACCGTAGTCCTGGTCCCTTCGGCTAGGGACAGACATTCAAAAAGCCTGAGCCTTAATCGATTCAATCTTTGCAGGTTAGTCTAACCTGGCTAGGCTATACTAGTTTGCAAGCATACAGACATTCCCTCTGGACTGAGAAAATGCAGGCACATGCCTGCAGTGGCTCAAGCTAGAAGCCAAGGGGTGCTACAGCAGCCTTCTCTTCCTTTCGGCAGTACTGAGCTGAGGGGAGGCATGGTCAGGCCCCAGCAGGATTAGGGAGGGGTTCCCCTCCCTCACTGTTCCTGATCAGCGAGGGAGCCACAGGGAGTTGATAACACAGCATTTAGCACTCCATCAAGAAAACAAAAGCCTCTCTCATTAGTTCAAACTCTTCTTAAACAACTTTTTTCCAAGGAAGGAACAGAGGGTTGTTACCAGCTACCTGTTGACTAGCTCCAAAAAGCCCTAAGTGGACACTGTCCTGTCTGCCTTTGTCCTAACTGCCTTACAGAGACACCTCTCAGCATTAGCTATCATACCACATGCTGGCTATGGTCCATGCTGTGGGAGAGGGGAGGGGGGAATCCCTGCTTGAGCAGGGAGTGGTAAGCACAGAGGGCAGGGACTGGAGGAGGGCAGGGACTGGAGGAAGCCAGGCAGATGCTGCTGTGCCTACAGTCTCTGCGGGAGCTGCAGCTAGGAGGCAGAGGGGTGGGGCCAGCCCTGCTCTGGAGCAGAGATTGCAGCCCAGGGCTGCAAAGCATCTGGGATGCTGGGGGACTCTGGTTTAAGTTAAACCAGGAAGGGGTCTGGGACAAACATTGCATAAACCAGTTGATCCAAATCAGTTAAGTCTGATATACATTCAACCAGGTTTGTCTCTAACGAGTTTCAGCCATTTTCAGACTGGTTTATGTGCACTGAACTTCTTTTCTGTTACAGGTTTAAACCAGTTTCTGATCACTTAAACTGGTTTATATGTAATGTCTGTCCCTAGCCTTCTAGACTTGGATGGTTGACCTGATTCCCTGGTTCTAATCCAAACCTTTGTTTCCCTCACCTTTCCTACTTCTAATACCCTGGTTTGTGGACCTCTACAGTCAAGCCCTGACCACCTGTGCCCAGTTGTTCCCTGACAACCATGTCCCATACAAGGATCTCAAAGGACTCAAAATACATAAGAATTTGCAACCACATTTCACACTGAGGCAGCAGTAGTAGTTTCACAGGTATGGAGCTGGGAGCAGAACCCATACTTCTTTACTTGCTATTCTGTGCTTTAGATGTAAGACACACATGAATTAGCGACTACAGAATTCCCTGGTCTTCCCAAATACCAGTAAGAGCCTCTAAGTTCCTGCAATAATAAATTCTATTGCCTATTTGTTACACAATCATTTAGAGTAACGGAAAACCTTTGATATATTTCCTGTTATTGAGTTCTAAATCTAGGGGACGCAAAGTCTACAGGGTGTAATTTGTCAGCAGAGCAACTAACGCAGTGAAGGTACTCATCCGCACTGAAAGAAAAGTTACTGTTCCATACGGCTTCATTGCTGTTCATATAACCCAGCTCTAGGCAGTGTTGTCATTGCCAGGAGCCTTCTGGTTGAATTCTGCCAATAGGGTGAATTAGACCCACTGATTTTTAATTCCATCCAAGGTCTCCATATTTTCAATAGTGCTTCCAACAGGACCCTGATGCCTTGATCAAATTTCCTCCAGCCAGCTTCTCATACCTCTGCTAAATGAACATCTTCTTGGCCTCTGAGATGGTCCCTTGAAGTCAGGAGTGAGATGTCATGGGGCAGCACTGCCGTACTCTTGTCTTGGGCCTTTACTTTGTAGTGTTGCAAATTTAGTGTTTTTCACCAGCACTAAATATACTTTCACTCATGGCATTTTTTTAATGAAATATCATTACAAAGTGGGAAAAAATTCACTCTTCTAAACCTTGGGTTTTGTGGGGGGGGGGTTAAAATTATTAACTGGACAGGAACAGAAATAATGCTTTTTTAAATGTTCATCTTTTGCTATAAAGTAAATGCTGCAGCATCTCGGTTGGGGTTTTTGGCGGGGGGGGGGGGGGT